CCTCTCAGAAGGCGGCGGGACTTCTCAGAAGCCCTCGCGCCTTCTGAGAAGTTTTCTGTGTCTTCGAGGACGGCTTCGAACACCTCTCCTGGCAGGATTCCCCACGAGCAGGAGAGGCTAACAACCAAAAGGAGCAATCGCGGGAAGGACGGGCGAGGAGAAGGAGGCGGAGGCCGCAGCGTGCAGGAACGCCTGGGGAATACACGGGCCGCGAGATCCTGTCATGCGCGAACCAGCCTCCGAACCTCCATCGTGTTCAAACTCCCCTCAGGTCCACAAGAGTCCGAAGCCGTGATTCCTTCGCGGCGTGGCTCCCCAAATTTGGACGCCCGGAGAAAGTACGAAGAAAATGGGTGCGATGCCCAACAACACGTGTTGTCCCAAACCGGCAGCCGCCGCTGTTGGGCGGGCGGCTTTAATTCTTCAGTGGACAACGTCCGCGGCGGCGCGGACAACGAGTCATGTTCAACATGAACAAGAACTTCTGTTGGGCATCGTACTCATTCTTTCCCTAACCATTTCGATCGTCCCGACCAGATGTCTTGACCCCTCCGTGGAACCGGCGAGTCGTCCTGAATTGCTGCTTAATGGCCCTGGGGCCCCTGAAGGCTCCCCAATGGCCCGCCGTCGTGTTTTTCTTGGTAAGAGAATAGCCATAATGATTTCTGCACAACGAGAAGAATCGGGGAGATGTAGACCTGGGGTACGGGGGACTCGGGTTGGCCTGACGCGGCCGTCATGAAAATGACGATACCCCCGCTGCAAACATCCCACGAAAACTGGACCGTCAAAATCATGAACGCGCTCGTCAAAAAACGTCGGAAAACCCGAGTTCTGGCGCACTCGAGTCTTACGTTTCGCCAAAGGAAACGTGGGCCTGGTCCACCACCCAAGCACGGTGGCAATCTAGGTAAACGACTGCCAGACAGAAAGGCCGAATCCGGCCAGACGCCAAACACCATCCGACGTCACTCTTGTCCCCGCGCGAATGTCAAAGTCAACCTGCGAAGGACCTATCGAGCGAAACGCCACCGCAACGCCCTCGGAAGGGTCCCGCTTCGGGGGCGAGATCGGCACGGCACTGTGAGGAGACGCAGCGTTGAGGAAATTCTGAGGGCCAAGATCCTGGATACGCTCATCACCCGACGGTTTCTGGCAGACAGGGGAGCAGCGGTTGTCCCCAGCAAGTGGTTCTGCATCTAAGGAGGCGATGATGGGAAGCCCCGCCCTGACGCAACACAGGAGACCCCATTTGTGTGGCCTCTTGTTACCATGCCGTCGGCTTCCCGAGTGCAGCTCCCAAGACACCCCCCATCCGTAGTGAATGTGTGCACGCATGGGCACTTCCTTTTTGGCAATCGGCGGTGGAGCAACAATCCGCTTGCCTGGCCGCCTGAATTCCCACCACCGAAAAACCAGCGCGGAATTCTTGGTATGGCGCTGGACTCCACACCCCTGGCGCACGTCGCTGGGAGCGCCGCCCAGGGGGACATCCGAAAGAGCAGGTTACGTACAAATTTGGTTGTTTGTTGAATACCAAAGAGAGAACGCGTTTCACGGGCGCTTGCCTGGGGAACATTCGGCGGCGCATTTCGAACCGGGGGGGGCCCCCCCCCAACACTCGGCGCCGTCGATCAAAACCAGGGGGACTCCCCGCCACCCCCACCCCAGCGGGGACGCAGGAACGATGACCAGAGGCAGCCCAGGGGGGGGGATTCAAACCCCCCGCCCTCCTCGCGCCAGCGCCGGCGCTGGCGGCGGCCAGCAGCGCCGGCGCTGGCGCAGGCGACGGCGGGGACGCAGCGACACTTACCACCACTACCACCACCACCACCACCACTACCACCACCACCACCGCCTCAACCCACCACCACCACCACCACCACCAATAGCACCACACAATCACCACCACCACCACCACAGCCACCACCACCACAACCGCCACCACAACTCAACATCACCACCACCACCACAAAAACCCACCACCACTACCACCACCACCACCACAATCTACCACACCACCACCACCACCGCCACAACCACCACCACTACCAGCAACACAACCCACCACCACCACAAACCACCACACCACCATCACCACCACCACAAACCACCACCACCACAAACCACCGTCGTCCTCGTCGACGCTCCCCGCCACCGCCGTCCGCCGCCGCAGGCGCCGGCGCCGGCCCAGAAATGGATATCGTCGTCCCCGCCGTCGCCAGCCGCCGCCGACACAAGCGACGGCCCGAGGAGGGGGGACGCAGAGGAGGGAAGGGGGGTGGGGGGGGGGTCCGGTTCCATCCCCCCCCCCTCCCCCCCCTCCAAGCGACCACAGAACTCGCTCTCTCGTACCAAAGAATCTCGAGGCCGCCGAAATGATGGCAGACAGTTGCCGGATAATCGCGCCACATCGCCAATACATTGGCGATGCATCGACGACGTCGGAACCTGAGAAATCGACTTCCGCGTCGAGCGGCATCGCCGATGCATCGGCGACGCGGCGAGATCTTCCGAAACCATCTGCTTGGACCCCATGCTTGCAATGAGTGAAACAGGTCCTGGGCCCCAAGGCTTTGACTCGGACCAGCTGTTCCTCCTGAGTCGCTCCTCGACGGCCCCGGGGCCCGTGGAGAGCCCCGAGAAGCCGAAAACAAGGAAAAACATCAAGCCCATTTTCATCAAGGCCCGTGCGCGCGAATGCCGGCGCAATCGACCCCTTTTTCTGAAGGGGCCGAAGGACACACAAACAAATCCGCCGACCCTGTCGGCGTGTGTGAGGGGCTTTTCCGTTCGAGCCATCATCTCCGTCATTCTTTATACTCGTCGTCTCTGTCCTTCCCTTTCCCTGGGACTCCTCTTCCCCTGGGCTCCAGCCAAGCCGACCTTGAGCAACGTCGTACTTCAGTCGAAGGGAAGCCCCTTCCCTTTGATCCCTCCCCCGCCGGGAGGGGGGGGGGGTAGCGGGGGGGGGTAGCGAGGGGGGTAATGGGGGTAGCGAAAAAGGGGTAGCGACCCTAAATAAAAAATAAAAAAAAAAAAAATAAAAAAAATTTTAAATAAAAAAATTTAAGAAAAATGACGGGGGGGGGTAGCGACCCCCCCCCCGGGTCACATACGACGCCCCGCCCGCAAGTAATGCACGTAAGGATTCTTTACTGTTTCGGGGCCGCGCCCCAGCCGCCCGAGCCGCGCCCGAGCCGCTCGAGCCAAGCCGACCTTGAGCAACGTCGTACTTCAGTCGAAGGGGGAAAAAAACAAAAAAAAAAAAAACCCCTTCCCTTTGATCCCTCCCCCGCCAGGAAGAGGTGGGGGGGGAGCGGGGGGGGGTAGCGACCCCCCCACCGGGTCACATACGACGCCCCCCCTTCACACTCGTACGGACCATGTCTCTTGCTGTTCATAGCGATCAGGGTCGGCGGCACCGGCCGTAAGGCCTTCGCAATAGACACACATCCCATGATTCCAATATGTTCCCGTGTGCTCTGGGCTGTTTCGTCTTCCCCGCCCACTTCCCATCTTTTCCCATACTTTCCTGGGGGTCGACGATTGCTTGTGTCTGTGTGTGCGTGTGCGTGTGCGTGTGCGTGTGTGCGTGTGTGTGTGTTTGTGTGTGTGTGTGTTTTGTGTGTGTGTGTGTGTTTGTGTGCGTGCGTGCGTGCGTGCGTGCGTGCGTGCGTGCGTGCGTGCGTGTGTGCGGGCGGGCGGGCGGGCGGGCGGCGGGCGGGCGCGCGCGCGCGGGGGCGGGCGGGCGGGCGGGCCGGGCGGGCGGGCGGGCGGGGCGGGCGAGGCGGGCGGGCGGGCGGGCGGGCTGTCGGGCGGGCGGGCGTCTTCGTGCGTGCGTGCGTGGCGCGGCCGCGCGTGCGTGCGTGTGTTGGGTGGTGTGTGCGTGTGCGTGTGCGTGTGCGTGTGCGTGTGCGTGTGCGTGAATGTGTGTGTGTGTGCGTGAATGTGTGTGCGTGCGTGTGAATGTGAATGTGTGTGTGTGTGTGTGTTTGTTTCCCCTCCTGATTTTCGTCCGTCGCTCGCTCGTGCGGCCTGGAGGGTCGGACGCGCCTCGCTCCCGCTCGGGGCGAGGCGCCCCCGGGGCGTCCGCGCAGCCCGCGGGCCTGCCCTCTCGCAGGCAGGCGGCCGCACCGCGGAGGCCACGCTCCCCGCGCGCCCGCGGCGCGCGCGCGCGCTGCGGGGGGCCCTTTTGCGGGGGCAGCCGCCCGGAGGCCAAGCGAGCTTGGCACCCTCCGCGCCGCGCCGCGGAGGATGCTTAGGAGGCAACTCCTGGGAGGTGTTCGCAAGGCCGACACTCGTGATTTGGACGACCAGAACGGGTGCGGACAAAATTGGCGCACGGCCCAACGACAGCTGCTGTCCCGAACCAGCAGCGGCCGCTGTTGGGCAGGCGGCCTTCTGTTTCAAATGGACACAGGCAGCGGCGGGGCGAACAGCGAGTCCTGCTCAGAATGAACAAGAACTGCTGTTGGGCATTGTGCCCAGCATTTCCGTACACATTTCGCTCGTGCCAGGATGACCTGATGACAGGTGACTAAACCCGATTAACCAAGTGTCCATGGAGCCAGGCTGCGTAGGCGGGTGTTGAGCCTGACTGCGCGGGATCGAACGGAATTGAGCGGGGTGATGGCATGAGACCCTCCGCCGGCCAAAACACCCCAAATCATGAAATCACGCGAGGGTATGAATCGTCCAAGATGCACATGAGGGGCAACGGTAGGGGGGGAACAAATACCATGAATATAAACCTCTGGCGCTTCGCCCGGATTTCTTGGATCTGCGCTGGACCCCCTCCCTGGCGCGCGGAGCGCGACGGGGGCGCCGCTGGCGGCGCCGCCGGGGGGCCCAGTGCGGATCTCAGAAGTCCGCGCGGAGCGTCAACAGATTATGTTTATGGCGCTTTTCCTTCTTCGACACACGAAACCCAACCCTGAAACCCCAGGACGTCCATTGATCTTCGGTGTGGGAGTGTTACGCATTCCACGTTTATTTATGTGGGAGCGTGCGCCAACAGTTTAGGTTCATGGCGTCTTTTCTTCTTCGAGTTGGACACTCCCAGGTGATGCATCCTGATTAGTGGTTCGTCGAGCTCGGCCCTGTCCACGCCGCGCCGCGCAAGGGAGAGCTGCTGGGGCCGCCGACCCGATGCGCCACCGCGCCGCAGGCACCGAGGTGTTCGGTCGGGCACGTCCCCCAACAGGCGGTTTTTGAGCGAACAATTAAATTTAGCTAACGATACCCCATTTCTCTCTCTCTCTCTCTCTCTTATATATATACACACATATACAACGTCCTCAGACTATATTTCGACTATTCTCGAACATTCCTCCTGTGGAAGGACATGCTCGACTTAAACCGAGTGGAGGCCCTCGGGACTCTTGGGAGGTCCCAAGAGTCCTCGGCCCAAGCGGGAGGCACTATGAGGCCTCTACGAGGCCTCCCCGGGGGGACCGCCGACGTGGCGCTCTTGCTTCCGAACGGTGGCCCCCAGAGATCTGTGCACCACTTCCCCAGGACGGGCTTGTCCTCCTGAGCTGTTTTTGACACCACAAGGTCCCAGCCAGGCCGAAACTTGCTACAGAAGACCAGTCGTAATAGTTCTTCGCGGCGAGAGGTGAGGCTTTTCCTCCTGAGCAATGTTTGACAATACAGGGGCCCAGCTGGGCCGAAAATGGCCAAACGCCCGCCGTCGTAATATTTCTTCGCAACGAGAGGAGGTTGGGGTCTTGCACGGTGGCGGTGGAGGGGGAGGAGGGGGAGGAGGAGGAGGAGACCAAAGGCTGCAAGCTCCGCCGCCCCCTGTTGACTTGCGTGCTAGATCCTATTGGTTTCGTTTGGATCGTTTTTCAAATAACTCCTCCTGGGGCCCCGGCCCAGCGCGCAGCGACGGCCACGCGGAAGAGGTGGTTGCCAAAATGTTTCAGGTCCAGATGGCTCCACTATGGACCAAGACCGCCTCCAAGACTGCCAAGATGGCCTCCAAGCAAGATGGCCTCGAAGACGGCCCAAGAGAGTCCAAGATGCCTCGAGGTTCGCCCAGGAAGCCTCCAAGACGGCCCAAGACGGCCCCAGAGGCCTCCAGCAGGCCTCCACGACGGGCCAAGAGGCCACCAAGACGGCCCACGGAGACCTCCCAGAGGCTTCTGGGAAGGCCCGAAGAGGCCCAAATTATTAATTTCCAGCTGTTTTTGAAGATTTTCGCATTTGCTTCTTGTCGACCTTCCGACGGGCCCGAGACGGCCCGAGGGCCCCAAAAGATCGTCTCAAGATCGCCCAAGAGGCCTCCAAGATGGCCCCAGAACGGCCAAAGAGGCCCCAAGACCGCCCGCAGCCCCCAAGACACCCTAGACCGTCTCCAAGACGGCCCTGATGCACCCCAAGAGGGCCCCAAGCCGGCCCAGAGGGGCCCCCAAGACGGCTTCCGACGGCGTCAGACGGGCCAGGACGCCATCAAAACTGCCAACATGGCTCGAAGATGGCCCAAGACGGCCCAAGAGGCCACCAAGAGGCCTCCAAGTCAGCCCAAGAGGCCGCCATGAGGGCCACCAGGGATGCCCGAAGAGGCCAAAAGCATTGATTACCCATGGGTTCGTGAAGGAGTTTGGCATTTGCTTCTTTTCGGCCTGCCGACGGCCCGAGACGGCCCAAGGGCCCCAAAAGATCGCCCAAGATCGCCCAAGAGGCCTCCAAGATGGCCCCAGACGGCCGAAGAGGCCCCCAAGACGGCCCCCAAGAGGACCCCAAGGCGGCTCAAGAGGCCCCCAAGACGCCCTAGATGACCTCTAAGACGGCCCTGGAGCATCCCAAGGGGGCGGCAAGCCGGCCCAGAGGGGCCCCCAAGACGGCTTCCGACGGCGCCAGACGGAACAGGATTGCCCGAAGACAGCCAAAGAGGCCCCTCAAGGGCCCCACCCAAGAGGCCCCAGGCCCCCAAGATACCTCCGAGAGGCTCCTGGGGAGCTCCGAGGAGGCCCCAAGAGTGCCCCCAGAGGCTCCCAAGATGCTCCCTCCTCCTCCTCCTCCTCCTCCTCCTCCACCTCCTCTTGATCTTCCCCGCCGTCCTCCCCCAAGTGTTCCCCGAAGGGTTTCTACGACGGCTGGGGGCACACATGGTCCGATAGCTTGGCAGAGCTCTTGCCACAACGCTCGGCCACATGGCTGCATCCTGAAAGGCAGGGGGCGGCGGTGATTCACCGTGGCGTCTTCGATCCACCACCCCTGCAGTCTTGCCACAGGGGTGCCCGGCGTGCTAGACTTCAGGTGGTTTTTGATTCGTTGGCCGATGCCGACCCAGAAACCCGCCAGAAATGCCGGGGTCGTGGGTTTTCGGACCCCAGAGACTGCCGAGATGGCCCAAGATGGCCTCCGAGTTCGCCCAAGATGGTCCATGATGGCCTCCAAGACGTCCCAAGAGGGTCCAAGATGCCTCCAAGTCCGCCCAAGAAACCACCAAGACGGCCCAAGATGGCTCCGAGATGGCACAAGACAGCCCAAGAGGCCCCCCAGAGACCTCCACGAGGCCTCCAAGAGGCATCCAAGAGGCATCCAAAAGGGCATCCAGGAAGGCCCGAGGATGCAACACAGTTATTTTTCCTGTGGCCTGTGAAGGATTTTAGCATGGGCTTCTTGTAGGCGTTCCGACGGCCCGAGACGGCCCAAGAGGACCCCAAAATCGTCCCAAGATCGCCCAAGAGGCCTCCAAGATGGCCCCATGACAACCCAAACGACCTCGAAGGCGGCCCTAAGAGCACCCGAAGACGGCCCCATAGGCCTCCAGGAAGCCCAAGGTGGCCTCCGAGATGGCCCTGGAGCACCCCAAGAGGACCCCGAGTCGGCCCAGAGAGGCCCCCAAGACGCTTCCTGACGGCGTCTTAGGGGTCAGGAATGCACTAAGACTGCCAAAGAGGCTTTAAAGAAGCCCCCGAAGGCCCCCAAGAGGCCTAAGGAGGCCTCCAGGAGGACTCCAAGAGACTCCCAGGAAGCTCCCGGGAGGCCCCCAGTGCGCCCCAAGTGGCTCCCGAGAGGTCTCCTCCTCAACATCCTTCTCCTCCTCCTCCTCCTCCTCCTCCTCCTCCTCCTCCTCCTCCTCCTCCTCCTCCCTTTTTCTCCCTCCCCTCATCCTCCTCTCCCTTCCCCCACGTGTTCCCCGAAGGGTCTCCACAACGGCAAGGGGATTGGCCAGACTTTGCCCAGACGTGTGGCCACATAGCCGTAGTTATCCTAAAATTAGGTCGGGCGTGTCCTCCTACAAGCGGATTCGGAAGAATAGCCAGACATTAGCAAAACAATCAAAAGCAGTCAACAAAATACGAATCTGTGATTTGAATATGCCTCCTGTAGAGGGACATGCCCGCCTTACTCCTAGAAGGCAGAGGGCCAGGGTGATTCGCCGTACGCAGGCGTCATTCGGCAGCAGCGTGCTGGATGCGTGGGCACCGGGCGCGGCGGGCCGCTCAGAGCTCACCGCCGTGACCCGGGGGGGAGGGAGGGGGTCCAGCGGGGGAGGTGGACGAGAGAGGCGCCTCCTGCGGGGCCTGCTCCGGGAGGCTCCTCCTCACGTTCGTGGTCTTCTTGTAGACGTAGTCCCCCGTGGGGTCGTCCTCCCAGTCGAAGTCCGTCGCGCCTCTGGGCGGCCACAGCAAGAATCTGTAGTACACGTTGTTGGTGCTACCCTGGTTGGGCGTCACCTTGTGAGGCGCCCATGCGGGGAAGAGCACCAACTCGCCCTGCTGTGGGGTGTGCGCGTACCGGTAGCCAAAAGGAGGGCTGTCGCCCCGCACATCATCAAAAATCAATTCGCTGGAATTCTCAGCGTGCCTGGCAAAAAAGACACCATGTACAGAAGCACCAGTGCGCACGTGCGGCCACTGGAAGTCACCAGGCCGAAACACCTCCACCCACGGCATCGTCCTGAACCTCGTTGGAGCCCTGTCGCCCTGAATGTTGGTTAAAAACTGGCTGGCCATGGCCTCCACCCTCTTCACGAGAACCTGGAGCTCCGACGAGTCGTGCAGCTCGCTCCACTGGTAGCTGATACTAGGGGAACGAAGAATGACAGAAACATAAAAACTCGGAGGTCCGCGCGGATTTCTCGGATCCGCGCTGGACCCCCCCTGGCGCCGCCCCTGGCGCGCTCCGCGCGCCAGGGAGGGGGGTCGAATGCCGATGCGAGAAATCCGCGCGGACCCCCCGAGCTTGCATGCTTCTGTCATTGTTCGTTCCCCTGGATGCCCCTGTGCCGAGGCACCGGCCGGCCGTCCCAATTCAGCTCCTCCACGGGGAGCCGCCGCTTATCCGCGAAGACGCGCTTCTGCCAGCGCAGGAAGGCGAGGTTGACGCGTCGACGGGCCGGGGAGCCCCGCACACACGGAGCGGCCGAGACCACCGGGGAGGCCCGAGAGGCCCCCACGGGGCTCCCGAGCGGCCCCCGAGAGCCTCCCAAGAGGCCCCCAACCCACCCCCAAGATGCCCCCGAGAGCACTCGTCGTCGTCGTCGTCGTCGTCGTCGTCGCCATTCAGGGTCGGCGGCACCGGCCGCAGGGTCGGCGGCACGGGCCGAAAGTGAGGCCTTCGCTGAAAGGAAGAGTCAGCACGTACTCAAAACATTGCCCCCCAGAAACGGTCGAAGCATCGCCCCCGTGCTGGAATACTCCTCTCGGCGGTGGACAAACCTCCCTTTAGTATACCTCCCCTTAGTGAAAACGACCTGGGACCGAAACTGACGGGCCTGGAACCGCAAAAATGACGGCTGCGACGCCCTCCCGCGAACCGAAAACGGCCAATTCCTGAATCGACGTGTCAGGGTAGGAGGTCTATCCACCTCCGAACCCGAGTTAACCCTGACCCGAGTTACCCCTGATGATTCGGGGCTCTGGACGCCCGAATTATCCGGGGTAACTCGGGTCCGGGGTAACTCGGGTTCGGAATCCCGAAAAACGAACCCGAGTCAGCCCTGACCCGAGCTACCCCGGATGATCCTGGGCTCTGAACAAGAGTGACCTCCGGCGCGCGGCTTGCCGAGCGCTGCGCGCGGTGCGCTAGCAGCGGCCTGCGTGCTCGGGCTGGGCCCCCCGCGCCACTGGGCAGCTGCGCACACCAGGTTAAAGGGGCCCTGGGACACACAAGTAAATACACATGGATAAAAAGATTCCCCATATGTCCCCATATGTTCTGGGTTTTTGTCTTCCCCCCAACTTCCCATATTTTCCAATATTTTCTGGGGAATCGCCGAGTAATTGTGTCTGTGTGTTTCTTTCCCTCCTGACAGGTCGCTCCGGCGAAAGGTGACCCTCGCGCTGTGGCAGTGGAGGCCAATCCGCAAGAAGCCTTCCACGAAAAACCGAACCCCGAGACCCCAGGACGTCCATTGATTTTTGGTGCGGGAGCGCCGCGCTTTCCAAAAAAAAAAAAAAAAAAAACATCGAAACCCAAGAGGCCCAGGGCCCCCTGGAGGCAAACAGCGTGTTTCTTGGCATGGGCCTCCACTGTACTCGAGCTCCAGCGAGAAGGAACGCTGACAAAAATGCACCGGCGAAAGACCCAAGCACACGCCGTCGTGAGTGCGCAATCGTGAATACCGCCTGCCTTGGAGCTGCACGTGGGGCCACGGGACGCGTGCGAGCTGTGCCGACGCAGGCCTGGGGGGCGCATGCGGGCTCTGCCACTGAGGCCTTCCGTGGATCTCGCCGTGGGACCGCGGGACGTGTGACCGGTGTGCCGGAATGGGCCTGGGGACGCATGTGAGCTGTGCCACTGTGGCCTTCGGTGGGGCTCTCTATGGGGCCACGGCACGTAGGAGGGTGTGCTGAAATGTGTGGGGAACCGCATGCGGAAGCCTCCACTTGGGGGCTTCGGTGAAGCTCCTGGTGAGGCCACGAAACGTGTGAGGGGTGTGCTGAAATGCGTGGGCGCTCCCTATGGGGCCACAAAGCGTGTATGGGGTTTGCCAAAATAGAATTGGACACCGCATGCGGAAACCCCTTCCTGGGGGCTTCGGTGGGGTTCCCTATGGGGCCACGAAGCGTGTGAGGGTGGGCTGAAATTCGTAAGAACCGCACCGCATGCGACCCCCCCGCATTCCCTGTGAGGCCACGGAACGTTTGAGGGGTGCGTTGACATGCGTGGGCGCTACCTATGGGGCCACGAAGCGATGAAGGGGTATGCCAAAACATGCGAGAACCGCATGCGAAAGCCTCTTCCTGGGGGGGTTGGTGGACCTCCTTGAAAGTGTCAGGGTGTACTGAAATTTATAAGGACCGCACTGTATGCGGCCTGGAGGCTCCGGTGGAGCTCCCAAGAGGGGAAACGTGTGAGGGGTGTACCGAGGTAAGAACCGCATGCGAACCCCCTTCGAGGTATCGGTAAAGCTCCTTGTGGGGACACGAAACGTGTCAGAAGTGTCCCGAAATGTGCAAGAACGGCATGCGGCCCTCCCCCTCCTGGGGACTCCAATGGCGCTCTCTGTGATGCCACGGAACGTATGAGGGGTGTGCCGACATGAACAAGAGCCGCATGCGACCCCCCCTCCTGCGGGCTCCAGTGGAGCGCTCTGTGGGGCCACGAAGCGTGTAAGAAGCGCCAAATGGATAAGGGCCGCATGCGAAACTGTCTCGTGGTGGCTTCGCTGGTGCTCCCTGTGGGGCTACGAAGCGTGTCAAGGGTCTGCCAAAATGGATCAGACCCGCATGCGAACACCCCCGCATGGGGGTTTCGATGGAGCTTCTTGTGGAGCTACGAAACGTATGAGAGGTGTGCCGATATTGATACGAATCACATGCGACCCCCCCCCTTCCTGGGGGCTTCGGTGGAACTCCCTGTGGAGCCATGGAACATACGATACGCGTCCCGGAATTTGTAAGAACCGCATGCACAAACCCCTCCTGGGGTCTTCGGTTGAACTCTCCCTGGGGCAACGAAACGTGTGAGGGGTGTACCGAAATGGGTAAGAGCCGCACGCGAACCCACCTCGAGGTATCGGTAAAGCTCCTTGTGGGGACACGAAGCGTGTGAGAGGGGTCCCGAAATGTGCAAGAAAGGCATGCGACCCCCCCTCCTGGGGACTCCAATGGCGCTCTCTGTGATGCCACGGAACGTATGAGGGGTGTGCCGACATGAACAAGAGCCGCATGCGACCCTCCCTCCAGTGGGCTCCAATGGAGCCCTTTGTGCGGCCACGAAGCGTGTAAGACGAGCCAAAATGGATAAGAGCCGCATGAGAAACTTCGGTGGAGCTCCTGGTGAGGCTACGAAGCATGTCAAGGGTCTGTCAAAATGGATAAGAACCGCATGCGAATACCCCCACATGGAGGCTTCGATGGAACTTCATGTGGAGCTATGAAACGTGTGAGAGGTGTCCCGCAATTGATACGAACCGCATGCGCCCCCCCCTTCCTGGGGGCTTCGGTGGAGCTTCCTGCGGGGCCACGAAACATACGATCAGTGTCCCGAAATTCGTAAAAAACCGTATCCAAAGACCCCCTCCTGGGGTCTTCGATTGAACTCTCTCTCTAGGGCCACGAAACGTGTGAGGGGTGTGCTGAAATAGGTACGAGCCGAATGCGAAACCCCCCTCCTTGGGATCCAGGTGGAGCTCCCTGCCGAGCCACGAAACTTGTGAGAGGGACGTGCCGAAATAGGTAATGCCGAGGGCTGAAGCGAGGATGCGAGGAGGGCGGGCGCAAGAGGCAGGAGAGGAGAGGGGAGAAAACGCGGGGCGCTGTCTCCGCATAACGAGAACCACAAGGATGGCTGGGGGAAAAACTCAGGAACCCCCCTCTCTCGCCCCGAGCGCGCCAAAGGAACACCGGAGCCCCTTCCGAACCCGAGCTCTGTTCCTGCATGTCGGCGCCTTGGGTGCTGCCGAACAGGGGCAGAAATTGTGGACGCCCTTTCAGACCTGGTTCCTCCTCCGTCTCCTCCTCCTCCTCCTCCTCCCTCGACGCTTGCTCCTGTCTGCGTTCTCCTCCTCCTCCTCCTCCTCCTCTTCCTCTCCATCTTCCTCACGACTCCTCCTCGTCGTCGTACCACCGAGCGTGTCGGTATATCTCCTCCTCATCCGCCTCCTCCTCCTCTTGCTCCTCCTGTCCGCACCAGGCGTGTCGGTAAGGGCAGGTTGGGCGTTTCGCCCAAGACAACCCCCAACTTACGATATTAAAGGTTGGCGGACCCAACAGTTATGCGACTGGGATGATGGGTCGGACACCATCTTAGGTTGGCGATGCTTCCTGGAATAACCAACAAGGTTGGTTGCGTATGGAACAACGATGACACATAATTAATGATGTTGAATCGCTCGGCCAGGGGAAAAAATAATCATGAATATCCCAGAATGGTCCATTAGGGCTCGCGATTGTCAAATTTAGTGGATCGGGTTTTATAGTGGGATGCTCTCCGGCTGGAGGGGAGAAGATAGCCATTATTATTCAGGAGCGATCAACTGGCGTTCGGTATGATTGAATACTGTATCGGGCTTGATGATTGTATCTGGGCTCGCCTGAAGGACAAAAATAATAGTAATTATTCCAAAATGGTCAACCAATTTTCGTCATGTTTGGAAGACGAACTCAATTTGTCCCCCCCAAAAAATACCGGACAAAGTTCCGTTATGTCCTAGGAGTAATGGGCGGAGGTTCGCTACTTCCTGGGCGTAGGAGTTCCGTCCTCCCTCGGAGTCATGGACAAGAATCCACTACTACATTCGGAATTATGGACGGAGACTCGTTATTCCGTGAGAAAGTGAGCAAAGGAAATGACCAACCAGGGTCCGCTATCTCACGGGAATAATGAACAAGAATTATTTACTTCCCGGGATTAACGGACAGGCGTCCGTCATTTCCAATCCACCGCTGTTCCCAAACCATAATGGACAGGGGGTTGTACTTTTGGAAAAAATGCATGGGCCCACTACCATGTGGGAGCAATGGACAAGGGCGCGTCATCTCCAAAGAAAACGGACAGGTTCCCGTTGTTCCTGTGAATTACGAGCATCGGTTCTCAATTCCCCGGGAATATGGACAAGGGTAACCGTTTACTCCCTGCAGATACTGAGCAAGAGTTCGTTGTTAGCCTGGGCAATTTCCCGAGGGTTCGCTGTTCCAACATACCGAACTGGCGCTCATTAGTACATAAGAACTGGACAAAAATCCAGTACCCCCTAAAAACTATGAACAAGGGCCTGTTGTTTCCCAAGGACTACAAGACAGGATTTCAATACATCCGGGGCAATTGGGCAAAGGTCGCTTTCCCCCCAGGAATGATGGACAAGTATCCATTGATCCGTGGGAATAATGGACACTGGTCCATTGTTCTCTGGGAGTAATCGGACGGGGGGTCATTAATCTCCGGGAACCAAAAACAAGGATCCATTACTCATTCAAGACCTTGGACAAATATTCGAAAACTCTGACTCCGAAACCGTTGCCAATCGTTTTGGAAAGGCCACCCGAATGCTTGTATCCATTTGAATTCCACGATGACA